GTAAAGAAGAAAAACCAAATGCAAATTCGCAGGCGCCTCATGCAGCTGCAGGCCGATGAAAACGATTAAATATAAAAACCATGAGTTTGGCTATAGTAACATGCTTGTGAAAATGTATATAATTAGAATATTTGTAGAAGGGAGAGTTAGTCGGGCAAGAACATAGAAGTTGAGAGTACGGACAAAATAAATTGTGAATAATCCTACATTTAAGGAACATAATAGTAAATAAATGATCCTACTGTTAAGGAATATAATTGTAAATAAAAGAACTTTGACGTGTCTTCTCTTGACCAAAACATCCGCGATCCAGTGATACGGACAGTATATTAGAAAAGCGAATTTTATAGCAATATATTGAAATATACTTATGTTAAATATATGCATCCTTCGTAGTCACCAATCAACATATAATTGAACATGTCATATTTTTAATAAAATTTCTCTATTATTAAATTTTTTTTGATTACTTTAGCTTTTAGATTCCTTTAAGTGTGTTATAATAATGGTATCAACTGCATAGCAGTCTGCAATACTTTCAGTGAATTGTCAAAACCATATACATGACACATACTTTTGTGAGCAGACAGGAGTTGAATGTCAAAGCGCCTAAAATGTGCTCACGGTTGCAACAACGCAAAGCAAACATAGCACACCATCATCATTATCATCGTCGTCGTCAATGATATTATTGAAATTCAGAGAGTTTATGAAATTTTGATAATACATACGCGTTAGTAGTGTTCGCATGAAATGTTAATGATCACAAGTAGGCAATGATAAGGCGAAGCGTTAGGACAAACGAACAAGCATTTCATAAATAACAAATGAAAAATTTAAGTAGCTTAAGGGAACGTAGGTTTGCGTAGCACATATTGCAATTAGAATAAGTGAAGGGCAAATATAAAAACGAATGTCTTTCTTCTTTTCCCCTCTTTGCAAATTTTTTAATAGGAAGTATTTCGAATCAAATGTTTTTTTTTATTCTTTAAAGGAAAATTTGAAAAACCTTTTGTTGTCAATGAAGAAGAATTAGCTGAAAAAACAGAGAAATGTCTTCACGATTTGGTAAATCATTAACTCACATATATGGAAATTGTATGTAATACGTAGTAAGCAATTTGAGAATGTTACCCCAACTATACTTTGCACATCCCGTACTCATAATCAAAGCCATGTAAGAATTTATTCGTGACTCGAGGGACGTCTTACTGAACGGTGTATGGAATTCCGCACAGTAGCGTGCTTAAAGAACATAATTCATCACTTATCTACAGAAAACAAATATGCGGTGAATCTATCGTTACGTTATGGAGGAAAAAGTCAAACTAAAAAAAAAAATACGACCAAAATTTCGAAATGTAACAATGAACCGGCCCACTGTTCACTTATGACAATATATTTGCATTTCAACCATGTATGGATTTGTATATGTAAATGTAAATAATTTATTGGAGCTAAGAGTTTTCCCAGCACCTGTCGAAACTGAACGACGCATGTATGGTTTTTTGCCTTGTTTTTTTCTATTTTCGTTTTAAATATTACTTACGCACATAAATTAAAAACTAATATACGAAATGATTTTTGTTTATTTACCTGTTTGTTTTCTCTAAACAAAGAGATAAACTTTAAATATTATTCAGTAAAAATTGCTTGGCTCTTTTATTTTAAAGATTTATTTTTAACATATTCCGGACACATTATTTGTAGTCATGCGAATAAACTAAATAAAAACGAACAAAAGAGAATAACGCAATGAAAAAGTATTGAAAAAATTAATCTAAGTGAAACTAAAACAAACAAATAAGAAAGTAAAGTTCGGTTTGAAACGAATTTTGAACACGTACAGCTTGTCTGGCTCTTCTTACGTTTACTTATAAGATACTAATGAATACTTTTGCCAAACATGCTGCTATAACTGGCAAATTTTTCTATTCTCGAAAAGTGTTTTCAGGCGTTGTACACTTAAGGTCCTTTTGAGCTTAATAATGCAGTTCTAGCCGGCCATTAGCGACGAAGTGCAATTGTGTCGAACTTCTTTGAATTATTTTAAAAGTTCTCCGGTAAATATTTATGCCCTCGGCGAGCTGGAATGGCGTGCCATTTCATTACGGGTTGATGAAGTAATAATAAGACATGGGAGACATTATAATCGGCTAAAGAGCAATTTTTAATATCAAGCGCAGTTATCCATTTAAACATGTGCATTTATATGCCATGTTTGATTACAATACAGGCCGAAAATCAATTAATGCGTAATATAGTTATGACTTACGATTTATTGAATTTGTATTTGAATATTTAAGAAATTCAACAAAAAAACTTATAAGGAGAATTTTTACTTTGAAAATGATAAGTTAATATTTTTTCATTAAGTTAGCTTTGTTTGTTTGGTCTTTACTATCTAATTTTAAAAGTAGCACCATCGACGAGGACAAAACCCACAATTATCGAAGTTTTCATATAAATAGGGCGAAGTACGCAAATATGGTCCTGAGCAGGTATAGTTGTCTACGACACAGCACAAAATACGTTTTCAAATCCATAGGATATGAAGTAGAAGGGTAAGAATAAATTGAGTAAAGAGTCAATTTTCTATAGCTCTTAGTCGAATATAAATAAGTACAAGAATATTCCACTATTTACGCTGGTTAGAAAAGACTTTCATTTGTACACAATCGTGGACTTTGCGAACAGATGACGTATATCTTCTTTTTTTCACTCAAAAACATTTAAGCTTAAGGACATTCATATATATTTTTTTGCACTTTTTTCTCACTCTTCAGCCTTTTTAAGCGAGTACTTGATAATAACAAACAATGAATAATGCTTTGAACAGGCCTTTATACCCTTTCAAGGGCTGCTTTCGGTCAACCGAATGAAATGTGCTGTTACTGATGTAAAGTAATTCTACTGAATATAAGTGCAAAATATTGAAAATAGTTAACTATCTTTTTATTGGCTTGGCAGAAGATAAGAACAAAAAAATGAGCAATAATTCTGCAGTTCAACTATGCAAACCCATACAAGTTAGAGCCCTAATAGTTTAAAATTATAATTTTATAGATTATTTTATAATATTTTCTTTAATTCATTGCTTTTTATTCAATGATTATTGAGAGTTGTGCAAGGAGGACGAAAATATTTTTGTTAAATTGTGAGCAACGGAAGGCGATTTAAATAATGGTAGTAGCAGTCCTTTAGAGGAAAACATCTTGGAACTCATACCGACTTTTCTTGCCTGCTGCAAATACTGTCACTAAATGATCGCAAATCCTACTCTGGTGATCTATGAATGCCTAGGTCCTTTGCTTACGGCCGTGAAAAAAAAACAAGTTAGAAACTTATATTCGGCGGGGGCCGCATCTCGCATTCCACTTTCCAAGTTCTTTTATTTGATACCTTATTAAGAAAAAATTAATCGCGGTGTCTGCTATATTTTATAATAGATTTGTTTGGTTTTACACTCTGACGTTCTGGCATTTGCATAAAAAATGGCTGAAAAGGAGGATGGACACACTCGTCTCCTTTTGTCTAAATAATTTTTAGCATTAATTGCCACACAGAACTAAGTTTTTCTAAGTAAAAAATAATTACTTTTCCTTAAATTTTTCCTCTTGTAAATACATTTAGTGACACAATTTAATCGAAAACCTTGTGCGGCAACTTGTTCAACAATAATCTCAAAATAAATGTATTTTTTATTATTTATTGCCATTTCTTTTGTATTTATAAAATATTTTAAAAGTTCTAAGAATAGATTAAAATTTCATATAGAAATCATTGTCAGTACGCGCTGGCCTAAGCTTGCGATTTACAAAAATAAATAATAAAATGGCGAGAATGTACGCTACCTTCCAGAATTAAGAGGTCTTCGCGGTCTACCTTTTTACTGTGGAAACATTCGTTAGGACTCACAAATCACGTGAGCACTACAGAGGAAATGCTAATTCCAGTGTTGGACACAATCTCATATTTCGTAATCTGATCGTAAATTATAACACTTAGATAGTTTCATTAGTTAAGTATTAAAAAGAAGGCCATCTGAAATTATTTAGTACTACTCTAAGAAATATCACTGTCGTGCATGAGCTGAGTAAGTCGTACAACTTATCGCTTGATTCAAGCTTCGACGAGCTAGTATTAGTGCATTAATGATATCCGGTACATTGGCGGAGAGTATAGTCGAAAAAAAGGCTACATATTTTAGTTGTACGTTTGACGATTGCTTACAAAGATTTTTCCAAACGAACATCTTGTCAGTAGTATCAACAACAATTAAGTAATCTGGCCTTTGTGGTACATATAATAAAACGTAAATTTTGAAAAATGATTTAAAAAGACCTTCATAATCGTAATCGGTTTTGTTTTCTGGAATATACGAGCTAAACGGCGCAAAATGGGTTTAGAATATTGCACAGCAATTAATTAATTGTGTGTTCAAAATACAAGAAGGACAAAATATTACGCCGAATAGAAGGGGTCTTATTAGGCTTCGTTTATGTAATCCTAAAATGGGGTTACATTTACAATCTTCGATTATTGTTAACAATGCTTCGAAACGTCAAAAATATTTCCCTCTTTTTTCTATTTCCTGCATATTATCTATCTATATATCTATTATTTATTACTATTATCCATTGGATTTTAAGCATTTAAGATTCGTCTTAATCTCGTACTTTGCTTTGCATTAACCCAACGTATTTTTTTTTTATTTTTTTTTTTTTAAATTATTATTTCAAACTTTGAGTATTTATATGAAATATTTTATTTTTTATTTTTGATTTGTTTCAACAAGTCACCACTTCACATTCAATCAATTAAAAAAGCTTTAGTCAATGATTTCGCTGATAGAGGCAAACACAATACAACAATAATCGATGACGGCCGGCCACAACGTCTACAACAATTACAACAACCACAATCATAACTTATTTAGCATAGGTAGAAAAAAAATTAATACAAGTACGTTTTTTTCAGATTTTGCGGCCAGTCATAGCTTAGCGCTAAGCGAGACAAGTTCAATCAGTAAGCAAAGTCGGTTGCATTAAAAAGAAAATATATATATATAAGGGAAAAATATTTTTTAAAAAGCCGGTTGTAACAAAATAATAACAAACCATGTTAGAGGCATGCTTTGTCGCTTGCTTATTGCAAATTTTTGCACTAGCACGAGCGGAAGAGTAAGTTGGTATTGAGCGAACTAAGCAAGTGGTATATCCTCGAAACGCATAAAGTACATATTTCAAAGTCGGCAAAAGTATTATGATCAGTCCAATTCAGTGTATAGACGACCTTCGATAGTCGACTACAGTATGTCTATGAAAGGTGTTTGATGGTCAATGAAAATCATGCATTAAACTGTGTGTTTGCTTAAATAGAAACTGTGCAAAATATATTGTCAAATATTTAAAATTTATAATCTTCCACTATATAAATTGGCAACAGATTTATTATAAAAAATAATTTTATTGTAATTTTTTTTTAATATTGTGATATACTGGTTTTTTGTTTGTTACGATGAAAGTAAACAAACTCAGGCATTTTGTTTTGTATTATCTAGGCGGGTAGTTAAAAAAGCAGTGTGCCGCTTATTATTGTGTTGTTTACGTAAAAGCCATAACTGTTTATAAAGTGCAACAAAACGTACACGATATATTAAGCTATACAGCGCATGTTAAATTTAAGGAGTTCTTTAAAAAACCTACTACGACTAGCGTGTAGAAATGTTTAAGAAACTGGCTTCAGTCATACAACTTGAAAACGTCTCAATTAACCATTGTTTTAGATTAAATATGCCTTTCTTACCCTTAACGTTATAATTAAAACAAATTGTGGGAATTTATAAATATTCAAATTTTCATGTTAAAGAATGCATTATTTCATCAGAACTTGCTTATATTTAGGCAAAAACAATAATGTGCATCAAGCAAATTGACATCTCATCGTTAATCAGTGAAGCTAGAAGAGATTAAAGTATTAAATAGAAATTCTAAAAAAAAAAAAAAAAAATATAAATGAAATTATCGTTTATAGAAGACCTTGAAATGTATATAAAAATAAATATATTTATAAAATTGTAGATTAATAGACACATCCACTACTGATTTGTACACCATATTTTTATTTTTTTATGATTTTGAGCTTGAAGCAACGTATATATAATATCTAATTACAAGATATATAATAATGAATGATTCATTAAATATATAAGACATGTATGTAGTAACGTGTGCGTTTGAGAAGGTTTTGAAGATAAACACTGTGGAGTTTCGCAGTGATTTATCGAAGAGATAATGGCTGGTTGAGTGACTTATCTTCCCCATTTCCAAAATGTGAAGAGCAAGTTTATAGTTGCAGATGAAAATAATCTTCAAGAATCGACAGAAAGGCACAGCTACGTCGATAAGCTGGAATCGTCGAATTTTGGGTCAAAACTTTAATAACGGGCATTTTTTAGAACCCGTCAGAAAATAAAAAAATATAATCACAATTGTTTAATTATTTATATTTGAAAAAGCTTCCCCTTTTACAAAACGTATACGGTCGGCTTCATTTTCAAATATTTGAACCCGAATGCATGCAGGCACTGGCCATGTGTTTACAAACGCCATGGAGTACATGTCAAGGACGACAGTTTGCGACATTAATATGTTTGCACTATTCGGCATTATGGTTTAAGTTTTGAGAATTCACCAATTCAGTTAAATTCCTTCAATATAAACCCAAGTTTCTTAAAACATCACGAGAATTTTAGAAGATAAAAAAGTAGATAATCTATTCTTACATAATTATATAATATACCCTTACATAAAAAAAATAAAAGCTTACCTAAATATAACAATCTTCTTTTTGTGTATTGCAAACATCTTTGTGTTAGGTTGGAGGGAAAGTTCTGTCGTATTTTAAAGAAAATATTTAAATTCATTTATAAAAACACTTGTTTAATCTTAATCGATTATTTATGCTCCGTTATTTATTACAACCAGTTGCCATCTTTCAGGTAACCTGTGAATTCCTGTTTTGTAGAAGTTCTCGTCCTTGGTGTTAAAATAGTCAACAACTGCCTTAGAAACACCAACAAAAGACTTGATTTTTTTTCCCGTTGGATAATTTTGCAGAGGTCTGAACGGGTAATAATCAGATGGTGCAATGTCAGGTGAATACGGTGGTTGACTAAGGACTTCCCATCTTAACGCATTCAGTTGTTGTTGTGTCGCGATTGCAGTATGCGATCGAGCATTATCGTGGTTGAATTCTATTCCTTCTCTACACGCTAATGCAGGCCATTTTTTTATGATAGCCGCATTCAATTTATCCACCTGATTGCAGTACACATTCGCGGTAATGGTTTTCCCTTTTTCAGCAACTCGTAGTACACTGAACCTTTCCTGTCCCACCACAAACGAAGCAGTACTTTTCGTTGATGGACTATTGGTTTTGAAATTGTTGCTGACGATGTTCCTGGTTTGCAGTAAGATTTTTTTCTCTTAAATTTCTCTTAAAGAATCCGCTTTTCCTATCCAGTAACCAGCTTGTCCAAAACGGCTCCACATTGTGTCCAATCAGATGTGATGAATTCTTACAAGATCAGACAAATTCTTTTCGGTTAATTCATGTGGAACCCAAACAGTTTGCTTTAACACAGATGCAACAGATTTAATGTGATCTTCAACAGTTGTATGATAAATGCGTAACTCTTCTGCAATTTCTCGACTTGTTAAATGTGGAATATTTTCCAACATGACCCGCAAAACATCATTATCGATCTTGGATGGTCGTTCACATCGATCACTTTCCTGTAGGCTCGGATCCCCGGAACGAAATTTGCTAAACCATCTTTGACAAGTACGAACATTTACAATACCTTCGCACATACCGCACATAAATTTTTACATGCAACCGATGCGTTGCTTCCTTTTTCGAATTCATATAAAATGCAGTGTCTTAAATGCACTTTATCTGTTGACATGTTTTTCATTTTACATGTAACAAGTAAATGATAAACGGTAAAAAAAGACTCCTTTTATATTATACGACAGGTAAAAAAAAAAATATCCGAATGACTCACTAGCCATATTGTTTTTTTATTTACAAGAAAAATTACATGCCTGTTTAAAATACGACAGAACATTCTCTCCAACCTATTACTTTATACTACACAGATGTGTGCACAATGATCAAACAATTTTGTTTTCTCTAATTTTTAGATGCAAAAATTAATAATAGCTTCTCTTATTTAATATTAGATTAGCCGATTGTAACTATCTACAAATCCCCTTTTTTTAACATGACACATTAACCATAATCGATTGACTAGAAAAATGACTGAGGATCTGGGCGAATACCAAGAATATATATAAATACATACATGGAACGAAATGCAAAAATTACGAACGTATCCTTAGTAGGCGATGATTAAAATCTATTGACTTAAAGTTTTTAAATTTGATGATTGAATTAAAATTGATAATTTTGTCGGAAGTGAAAGGAAAGCCTGTTTTTGTTTAAGCATTTCAACAGTGAACTGTTGGCACTACTAATATGTGCATGGGATTTTTTGACACTACGATAACAAGTTTATTGTTCATACAATACTTTAACAACCGGGCACGATTTATTACTATTTATAGCGTTTCTTTTTTTTTTTATATTCAAAATTGGATGCTATTGTCAACAGCGACTTTTTAGCTAAATTACTTGTTGTGCATTAAAGTTATCTCGGTACATTAACATCCGCAATCTTATTTGCTAAGATTGAATCAACTAAATTCATCCTAAGAGCCAATCAGGAAAGCCTCGCATTTTTTCAAAAAAGAAATTTTAAAGCGGAATTCATATCATATTAGAGATGACGTTAACAATGACCTCTCCTTCTTATTTTTATCGATCGCGCGTTTAGAAAATACAGCGTTATCGGTCCTGGCACTATACACTCGAATGGCAAGTATACTGTCGCGGTAGCTGCTCATCACGTTGTCGAGCCATGTCAAATTCAAGTTGGTCTAACTGGGCCCTCTTACAACAATAGTAAAATAGTAGAATTATCGGATTTTGAAGTGAAAAATGTTGATTTCGATCTACCCGTTCTGGAGAAGGGTGATTACAATCTGACGGCAGCAGGTCTCAACTGTATGAAAATGTTTAAGAATTCAACTAAATTGAATTACAGCAAATTTCACACTAACGTGCGAGTGCAAACAGATAAGGGTTTGTATAAACCAGGCGATGTAATCAACTATCGTGTTATTTTTTTGGATAAAGATTTAAGGCCGGATAAACCGATAAAAGAAGCTAAGATATACGTTGAGGTGAGAAATACATTATTTTTGCAGTACACTTCCGTTAAATTGTATGAAATTTTTTCTACAATTTTCAATAGGATGGTAAACGTAATCGCATTAAAGAAATCAAAGATTTTAATGTCGTGCAAGGTGTTTATACCGGCAAATTTCAAATTTCCGAATATCCAGTTACTGGCGGCTGGCGCCTGGGTGTAAGCAATGGTGGCCGTTATGATCACATGGTCTATTTTGATGTAGACAAATACGTGTTACCCAAATATGTTGTAAAAGTCGAGTCCACCGAAAGAGTTTCCGTCAAGGATGGCGACATGCAAGTAATTGTTAGAGCTAAGTAAGCTATACGCGTAGGTTTGTACATTATTAAGATATATCTTATACGCCTAATATTCTAGCTACACCTATGGCAAACCTTTAAATGCAAAAGTCACTCTGCTAGTTAACCTTAATGTAAATCGCTACTACTATCGTGGCGATAGTGAGACTGAGGAAACACCAAAAAATCCACCGACCATCATCAAAACTGCGCCTATGATTCATGGTAAATCTAAAATAGATCTCAATGTTAAGGAATATGAAGCATTTATGGACTCAAAGACGTCGCCCAGTTACTTATCGATTGTAGCTACAGTTGAAGAAGAATTTACAGGTGTGAAAATCAATGCAACAAGCGGTTCCACTGTGTATCCTTACCGTTATTCCATGAATTGTATTAGTTATGACACATGCTCGGTTTTTCAAGCCGATAAGGAAGCAGAAGTCGAATTTCAAATAGTTTATGTGGATGGAACTCATTTTAACGATACCAAATCACCAGTTGAGCTGATCTACACAGAAGTTTTGAATAAATATCGTGTTTGGTATCCGGATTCTGATGAAGAAAATTCTAAAGAGGCTGATACAGAACCTGTTTCTGAGAATCGTACTTTCCATTTTACAAGTCACATGAACGAAAGCAGTATAGCAGTTTTTAAAGTCTCACTACCGGATCTAAAGGATTATCGAAAGCATGCACATTTTTATAAAATGGAATTGAAATACCGGGATGAACAACGTGAACTTTACAGTACATACCAATACAGAGAACCAAAGAATCTGGATCCTTTATCAGCTGAAGAAAATGATAAACTTAAAGAATTTTTCCAACTAGAGTACAAACGTTATGATGACAAGTAAGCGTTAAAATATGCTTTTGATTTAATTTTTTTTTTTTATAAAAGGAAAGACATTACAATTTCTTCAAATAAACGAGCTTCTAATGAATTTTCAAATATTAGAGATAAATTTTTCAGTTGCAATAAAAATTACATATGTTCCCTTTTCTCACGTTAGGATCGAACTAAATAAAGAAAGCCAATTCACGGTGAATTCCAGCCAGCCTTTGTTGTACGTCGTGTATAATGTGGTGGGACGTGGTAATATTTTAAAAAGCGATCGCATCGACTTACCGCACAAACCTAAATTCCATAACATTTCATTAATCCCAACCGAAATGTGGGCTCCAAGCTTCGCTTTATATGTGTATTACGTAAATGAGAAGGGTGAATATCACTACGCTGAACAACGGTACTATGTTCAATATACACTGCAGAATCAGGTGGGAATTTCAATTTGAAATAGTTTTTAGTTTACGAATGAATTTGAATGTTTCAGATTAATATAACTGCACCCGAACAAGTAAAACCCGGTGAAAATGTAACTTTAAAAATAAAAACAGCTCCCAACTCATTTGTAGGTTTGACAGCAGTTGATCAAAGTGTTTTATTGCTAAGATCTAATAATGACTTACGTCCTCACGAATTCGACTGGGTTTTAAGTAGTTACACCACTACAACTCCACACCAAGGTGGTTATTCAGACTATCCAGGTTGGAGTAGCGGAGTGGTGACCCTAACCAACGCTGACTATTTCTATAATTGGACTAAGCCGGAGTATCTTTCGAGTGAGTTCGTACCAAGACTATATCACACTTCGTCAAAACTGCCGGTAGGTTTTCATCGAAGCTCACTAACTAATTTCCATTACATTCAGCTCCCATTTCGGCGCAACTAGACTCAGAACTTAATAATCGAATTTTTACTAAATCTGGTGTACAGGATTCTGGCATTTTGGGAGCTGCGGGAAGACCGGGAATGGCAGAAGCAGATTTAGGTTCTGGATTTGCCGCTAGTAGGTCTGAAGTACAAGTGCGTAAAGATTTCTCAGAAACCTGGTTATTTGATAATATCGAGAAGTGAGAAAATAAGCATTCCAAAATGAATTAATATTTAGTCACTAACCGCTAATTCTAGTACCAACGAAGAAGAGTTTAGCTATGAGGCAAAGATACCCGATACTATAACTTCGTGGCTTATTAGCGGTTTTTCAATGAATCCTAACAGAGGTCTGGGCATCACAGCAGACAAAACGAAAGTGGTTACATTTCAACCTTTCTTTATATCTATTCGTTTGCCTTATTCCGTAAAACGTGGTAAGTAGCAGAGAAGGTGGGTACGTTACTTTTTATGACATTGTCTTCATCTTTCCTGTAGGCGAAATTATCAATGTACCTGCCTTAGTATTCAATTATCTAAACAAAGATTTAGATGTCGAGGTCATCTTAGACAATAACGATGGTGAATATGAATTTATGGACATCACAAATGAAGTACACAATGATGAAAAACAGGTGAAAAAAACAATTCGAGTACCGGCTCATGGAGCTGCTGGGGTCTCCTTCATGTTAAGACCCAAAATTATCGGTAATGTGATGTTAAAATATCTAGCTACATCCTCATTAGCCGGTGACGGCATACATAAAACTATGAAAGTAGTTCCTGAAGGTGTAACACAATATGCTAACCGAGCTTATTTTGTGAATTTAAAAAAACAATCAGAGGAGAAAACCAACTTTGAGTTGCAATTGCCGGATGATGTGGTGCCGGATTCGCAATACGTTGAAGTTGGTGTTATGGGTGATCTATTAGGTCCAGTACTTAATAATCTGGATAACTTAGTACGCAAACCAACAGGTTGTGCTGAACAGACCATGTCCAAGTTACTTCCGAACTATATAGTATTGAAATATATGCAGGTGAATAACTTGAAATTTGAAATGGATTTCTTGAAAATGCTGAAAATTTTCTGCAACATCTTAGCACATCAACCAATTAACACCCAGCTTGGAAAAAAGATTACTTTATAACATAGAAAGTGGTTATCAGAATATGTTAAACTTCCGACTTAAAGATGGCTCTTTCAGTGCGTTTGGTTTACCACAATATTATCGTGATGAAAAAAAACCCACTAATGGGTCAACATGGTTAACTGCCTATATAATACGTTCTTTTATTCAACTTAGAGAATTTGTGAATGTTGATGAGCGAGTGATCAATGAGGGCTTGGAATACATGGTTAAAAATCAAGCAAAAAATGGCAGTTTTGTCGACAAGGGAAATTTTTATTACGGCGGTAATCGAGACATCATTTCATTAACATCTACCGTTGTATTAGCTTTCTTGCAAAATAAGGTGTGTTCATTTGAAGATAACCGACAATAGTTTTTCGTGTTTCATTTTTCAAATTGTACAGACCATCGCGGACCAACATAAAGATATGATACAAAAAGGTTTAGATTTTGTATCTAAAAATATCGATAAGCCCAAAACATTAAAAGATCAAATTCTTGGCACACATATTCTTCAGAAAGGTCAACATCCGCAAGCAGAGGAAGAATTGAACAAAGTTAGAAATTTAGCCAAAACCGAAGGAGATCGAATGTGGTGGTCAGAGTCGGACGATAAACGTAAAACACATCGCTGGTGGTATTACGTTTTCTCGAATGATGTGGAGATAACTGCGTACAACTTGTTAACTCTGCTAGATCAAGCGGCTACTACAGTCGATGATGTACTGCCCATCATAAAATGGTTGATAGCCCAGCGTAATAGCTATGGTGGCTTTTCTTCTACTCAAGATACTATCGTAGGCTTGCAGGCCATTATTAAATTCGCAGAGAAGGCTAATTATAAAGCCGCAAAAATGGATATTGAAATTGAAGCGGAAGGGGATATGCCCAAGAAAGAAACCTTACAACTAAATGAGGAAAATGGTGTACTTTATCAAACACTAGAGGTAAATAAAGAATCAGATTGGAGAATAGAATTTATTCATACCTATTATGCTATGTTTGTTCAGATGCCCGCTAAAACTTCACATATCGATTTCACCGCAAAAGGGGCCGGCTCCGCCTTGGTACAGATATCTTACCAATACAATATCTTCGAGAAAGATCCACAGCCCAGTTTTAGCATCAATACTCAGAAACATGACAGCAGTTTGTCAGGTAAACTGCTAATGGATGTCTGCGTAGATTACATAGGAGAAGGCGATTCGTCCAATATGGCATTGTTGGAAATTTCTTTACCTTCTGGTTTTGTTATCGATGAAGATTCGCTTGAAAATTTAAAACAAATTGAAGGAGCTAGCGTAAGTTTGGTTACATTTTGTGGACGAAGTCCTACTTTACCGTTTTCTTTAAACAGAATGTCGAAGTGAAAAATTCTGCATCCCTTCTGGTCATTTATTTCGATCACCTGCACAAAAATAAGCAAAAATGTGTAACCATTGAAGCCTTTAAAAGTCATGCTGTGGCCTTGCAAAAACCTGCTTCTATTCTTTTATATGATTACTATGATACGAACAAAAAAGTGACGAGCTTCTATGAGGTCGCGTCCAAATTATGTGATATCTGTGACGGTGAAGAAGAGTGCAGTAAATGTACATGAGTAGTTTAGAGCGAAAATTTTGTTTGTTTTTATTAAAATTATTAATGTTTATTATTATATGTTTAAAGAAATCAAAATCGCAATCATAATAAGATGGCGCATTTACTTTAGCATTCGTACTCACCACTGAGAGTACGTGGTAAGAATTTCAGGTATTACTTCTGTAATACCTCTGCCGTTTACGCCAGAGTCGGCATTTTTACTTGTCCTTAGGTAACTGGGGAGAGAATTAGTTTGGAAAATATGTTCATTCGTCTGCCGTAAATAATTTTTAAGAAAATCCACGTAACCTATAAAAATCCTTTCGGACATTTTCATATAACGATCTTATATAGAAAAGTCTTTTAACAGCTTTTTTAATTCTTTAAAACCAATTCAAAAAATGTTTGCGAAAATATTAAAAAAAATATTGAAGAAGGTTGATCTCGGCTTGACCCTTCTAAAAGCGTTTTTTGGTACTTAAATACCTTCCAAAAAATTTCTTGAAGAACTTCTTGAACAGTTTTAACATATTTGCATAAATAACGGAGGGAGATTTTTAGAAATCTTAAAGAAATTTTTTTTTAAAATATCGATTATCTGTGCAACACCCCAAGCGGCACATACCATAAATAAACAAAAATACATAAGGGCTGTTATTTAGCGAATCGTGAGAGGCAGCGAAACGCCACCAAACACCGTTACATGGTAATTGTCTATCTACAGATGATGTCGTTCCGAATTTTCCAATATTCTTCGTCGATGCTATCGAACAGAGCTATCAACTGATGCGCGCTTACTTTAAGAAGTAATTTGCAATTTTTACACGTTTGTTTGAAATCGCGGCATCAATATACTTGTCTTCATTCCACGTAACATAGGTTTTTCATGCGGGGCACGCCTATTTACGACAGGACAGCAGGAACAGAGCTAGTGACACTTACTTGTTGCCTTAACGACGAAGCCGACCTCTGGTTTGATAGAATTCTTTTAAAAAAAGCGGTTTAAATTTTTTTTACGTTTAGATTGTTGACATGTGCCTCAATAGTAGAACATTGACATTTGCAATGATGCGTCAATAATGAGAAAAACCTGATGATTTGCATGAAAATTTTGTTAATCGAGTGTTTGTAGCAGTAGTTATGAACAAAATCATCAGTGGTATCAAAAAAAGACCCCCAACACAAATAATCATACAAATGAGTAAACAACTCAAACTATTACACGTGATTATTAACAAAACTAATTAAATTTTATCCTTTGTGACCAAGTTCACTGTCTAGAATCTTCCAAACAATTGCCTCTTCAATTCAGATTTCTTAGAACCATAAACAAAATACATCTTTTTTTTTAAATTTATGAGCAAATTTATGTTATTTTCCTTTCTTCCATGAAAAGTGACAGAATAACGTATTGTATGACAGTCGTTGCTGTTTTTGTTGCTAGTCTTCCTTTTGTTACATCTGCATAGGAGCATCTACAGAAATGATGTTACTGTTACCATTACCATTAGTTTATTTTGCAAAATTTTTTCTCTGTCTGTGGGTTCCCTTATTCAATACGTATCGCTTTGTATGGTCCGCTGTGCACTCCTTTCTCTCTATACATTTATATTTTTGTGAATGTTCGAATTTTGAGTTTCTTCGGGCCATTTTCGTGCTGTTATTATCATTGGCCAGACTTTTGTTGGAATCACTACGGTTACTTTGTGTGCGCGTGTCGTTTTCTTATTATTACCTTACTGATTCACTTGCTTATTGCTGATTTCGTATGTATGCATTTGTACGAACGCTCCTGTATGTAGTGTACCTGTATTTTTTGTATAAAACTATTGACATTCAATTTGTGTTATCTCTAAAACAGTTCAAGTTATGATAAAATATACGAAAGGAATGCAAAAGCACTACAAAACATATCCTCATATATACTTCTATGGCAAGTTTACGTAATGTGCTTCAAGTAAATGTCTACTAACAGAACTTTTGTTTGTATTATAAGCGAAGATCTGTAAGACCTTTAGATATTTAGAGCAGACTTTAAAGGTATGCTAAATATACTATCGGTAACAGTAATGGTAATACTAGAACTATAACCAATATTAACACATACTAATGCGACGATTAATACTATTACCAATACTAAGACTCACAGTGTTACTAGTACTAAACAAGACTGATACTAAACAATACTGATACTCATATTTTCATCGTTTTTGGTGTAGCAAAATGTTTAAAAAAAACAGATAAGATAGTTAAATTAGGCTGGGATCAAATCGTCTATACTGACCACCTTTGTCTTAAAAAAAATCAAAAACACTGAGAAAAATGAAATTTTATTATTTTATAATATTGGATAGTTTTGGACGATGCTTTTCATTTTTATATAAGTAGTTCAAACTCACGTCTAAAGTATGCTTACCTATTTTTATTTTAGTATTTATGGCAGTTTATAAGTAACGAACAAATGGCAGTTTTATTGTTTTGAAAACAGAGGTGTTCGCAGTCCATGTTAAACTGTGGGATTGTCTGTTGTTCAATTTTTTAGTGGCAGAGTAATGTTTACCGCAACAATTACACTGACAGGCAGACGGGCATCCCTACATACATAGATTCACAATTCACAATTACATCACGATCAACAATATATACAAGGAGGGGGAATTTGCTTTTTTCCATTGCAATAGTTTTGACAAAATAATTACATCTCCATCCTTCGGGTACAAAACTATAAAATTCAATTTTTGTAGTCCACATATAAAAAATAAGGAAGGTTTGTTCGGCTGTGGGCGAATCTTTGGTAACAACAACACATATCAGTATACGTATATACATTCGTTTTTCGCGAAGCGTTTTTTCGTGACAGAATCAAATCAATATCTGGTATGGAATATAGGCCATGGCTTTTGGCCTACATCAACGTTTCGCACCGATCTTACAAATTGATTCGTAATCATCAATTAATAGTGTACATGTCAAATTTCCGGTTTTTCTTATGTTTGTGACATAAAGACTGATGCACGGAGTAAAACAATATATATTATCCGTAATGATGTATTATAGTTGTAACAAAGAAAAAATGAAATCTAATAGAACAATATTCCTCGATGAGAGGTATAAAAATTGTTTTCTTCCCCACCATACATTTTTTAACTACCAATACAATTATAAAAGCAGTATTTGAAAATCTCCATGGGAATAAAAGTAAATCATAAAAGCGCAGCAAACGAAATAACATTCTGTCTCTTAAGAGCAGATTGTTGCGCGTCATTGATGACGATGATGTCACTGCGGATGATAGCAATGCTTCATGAAAATAATAACGCTAAATAATAAATGTCGCTTTACGTCCGCTTCGAAAAGAGTCCGTTGCTTAACAAAAATTGAATACGATATTTGTAGCTTTTGATGCGGTTGTAATCTCTTTAGATTTCTTCGAATATCTCACATACAATACTGTATGTATTAAATATTAAAAAAAGTGACAATGTTTACAACAATGTTGCATGAAAGTATATAGCTTTACAATTGCTAAAAGGCAAAATCTTAAATCAGTTCTTAATGGCACAGAGAGTACTATTTAACAAGGTAAATTCAATTTTCTTTACTGCAAATTCTATTTAATCTTATAGTCGCTAATTTCATATTTTAATATGGACAATGTAAATAAGAAATCTAAAACCTACGAACTATATTCTCAGTTATATAATTAATCCAATAAAATAACAAAATTCAAGAGAGAGAATAGTTGTTCTATTTTGTGAAATATTTGATGGATAAAAATATTTTTAAAAAATCCCTGGATGCGTGCCCTATTGATGGTTCCACTACCTTTTAACGACTTATAATAACCCATGCCGGGAATACCGTAGCGCATTTATAAATACATTTAATTAGTATTATATGATGCGAACGCATTGCTAATAGTTATGTGTAAATATTGTAACCTAAACCGTCTTTCGCGAATTTGTGTTATTTGTTCCACTCCTTTATTCGTACTGCTGAACTATGGTTTTTAGGATAGTATAGATTTTATTTACAATTTTTAGCTGGTCTCTTAACAAATTTTTTACAGAAATACATATTTGCAACGCTTTCATTCTCGTTCCGGACTTGCCAACTGTCTTCATTCGACTCTCTCAATTAACTTTCAAAGAACTTTGCCTTGCGCAAATATTCCGCTTACATGTCCACTCAGATAACGCACCATCAATGCGTACTTGGTTTTCCCTTCTTTAGAATTTTAGTTTGCGAATTTAGAGTTTGCAATTGAAATAATAAGTAACTCAGCTGTTATAACAAATAAATTAACGAATTGTTTAATGTGACAGCAATGTTCAATGTAACGATCAATTTGCTTTGCAACGAGATTCATACTTACTTAGGCATAACTACAACATATTGAACATTGGATGAACATATCGTCGTAAATAGACTGTGTGAACCCTAGAACACGAAAAGATGCACGCTCGACCGATTTCTCGAAACAAAGATTACAGAAATTCAAATTCAGTGTTTCTTCTAAAAAAAAGTCACAATCGACTTTATAAATGTTTCAAACTGGCGCATAAAAAATTCTTGATGCACATTTGCCTCATTGTGGAAAAAAACTGCGAGCTTTGCTATATTGCTTCACTTGACTACAAAATGGTCAAATCTCATTAGCATACATATATTTATGTACTAAAAGACATCGGAGAAATAACAAAGAATTCGAGACCAAATAATTTCCTACCAAGGTTAGTCGTTCCTATATCCGAATTTTGGGCGGGCATGCAGTATTCAATGTTTTTTCTTTTTTTTGCAAATAATAAGTGCAAAGAATGATGTTCATGAACAAAGGCTTCCCACGTTTTGAGCAAAAAATTCTTTGACTTCAATCCTTTGATTTCAACGGGGGAGCAAACCACATAAAATGTTTCTTTTCAGCTAGAAGAAACCGACCACATTTCAACATTCATCACATTCGGTATGTTTGCACTCCTTTGAGAGTCGCGTAAAATAAACAACTACAACAATTTTATTTACCATTTATTATGATTAGATACCATTTTTTAAATTTAAAATACCTAAAGCGGCTAAAAAAGATCGGATGAATGTTATGAGCAATCTGCTCCGTTAAATAAAAGCTGAAATATTGGAAAGTTGAATTTAAACGTGATCGCATA